TGTATGGTGTTGGGGAGGGATGTGTGGGATGTCTTTCTAGATATGACAGTATCAGTTTCGGCCAAACTTTGAAATTGAAATGTTTGTCACGTTTTGTTGCGAAACTGTTTATAATATACAGATCTATTATAATAAATCTTAATACCATGAATATCTAACGGTATTTATCTGTACATCTCTTTGTGTATGTGTGTGTGTGAACCTACAGCGGGACAGCACAGTGGCCAGCCTCCTGTTTAGCTCGTTGTTCCAAGCCATCTTCCGGGCCATGGACCAGGTAAAGACGGAGCGAGAGATGGAGGAGCTCACCGCACAGATCAACCGGAGCATGGAGAGCCTTCTAGCCCAGTCCACACACTACTTCCCTCCCTTCATGGGCAGCATTTTCGTACGTTTTTTTGTTTTTTGTTTTTTTTGTTTTTCGTTTTTTGCTTTTTGTTTTTTGCTTTTTTGTTTTTGTTTTTTTGGTCGTTGTTGTTCATTTTTGTTGGGGTTTTTTTGGTTCTTTTTTTTGTTCTTCACTTATTTCTAACTGCTGTTTCATTGTGGTGTAGAGGTAAAGTGTTTCTCTGTCACGTGCAGTAGATTGAAATTTTAACCTCGAGTGGATAGAAGGTTTTTTTTAGAGTATCTCTGTCCTTCTGCTGGAACGATATAGTCTTTACTTTTCTATTCTTTTTGTATAATATCCTCCATTTTCTTATATTTGTTATTTGCTGTCTTTACTTTTCTACTATTTTGTATAATATCCTTCACTTTCTTTTTTTTTAATTTCCTGTCTTAACTTTTCTAATATTTTGTATAATTATAATATCCTTGATTTTCTTTTATTTGTTGTTTCCTGTATTTATTTTTCTACTGTTTTGTATAATATACATCTTTCAGTTTAATTTATTTCTTTATTTCTCATCCGTACCTTTCTTCTGTGTTCTAGAACATTCTGTACGAGGTTCGGTCCAGCCTGAAGGCCCCAGCCTCTGAGGTTGGAGTCAGTGCCATCGTCAGCAACCAGCAGACACTGGGTGAGTTTGGGGCGGTGCGGCTGACCTTATGCAGTTGCGTGCGCCGTAAAACCTCTACTAGAACTAAAACTAAACTTCTCCCCTGCACTATATGAATGTTGTTGTGTCAGTGCGTTTTTCTTTACTCAAACTCCAACTCAAAGCCATGCCAAGAGGCTGAATCATTTCCATATGAAATGTCTCGGGAGAATTCTTGACATCAAATGACAGGACAATAATTTACCAGACACCAAAGTTCTCAAAATGTCAAACCCTAACAGTCTGTTTTCTAAGCTTTAAAGGACTTGACTTCCTTGGGCCAGCCCTGTTGTAGGAATGCCTGATTTCAGAATCCTAAAGGCAGTATTCTGTCCTAATAATAATAATAATAAATGAAATTTATATAGCGCTCAACCCCGATTAAAGTACACAGGCTCTGAGGGCTTGACAATACAATACAACGTACAACAGTTACATAAAACGTGTACTGACTTAAAGAAAATTACTCTAAATATTCATCTTATTAATTTAAAAACAGAAACGACTTCAGCTGACATTTGAATGTAAAGTTGGTGCACCCAAAATGTGCTACAAAAGCGCCCTGAAAATGTCTCTAGAGGACTTTGACATAAATCTTTCGACATGGGAGAGCCTAGCTCCTGACAGACCCAGTTGGAGAGCAACAGCCAAAGAAGGCAGCAAAGCATTTATGAGGCTTCATGAATTAGAAGTACTGAAGCCAAGAGAGAAGTCCGCAAGCTGCACACATCCACAAGTGGAAAAGAAAACGCTTCTCTGTCAGAGTTGGTCATAGAAGAAGCCATAAGTTGTCCTAGCCTTAATCTATTATCTATTTGTGGTGGCCGAATGTTGCTATTCAAAAGGCTTTTTAATGGCTGCATCGATCGACATGCGGTTTTCGATTAAAGATTCTTTAAAATATTCTCCAGATCATGACGCCCTTCGTTTTTTCAGTTTCGAGACAGTTTTGCTGCTAAAAACTAAATTTCTTTATTTCGCTGATCGCTTTTGTTGGCCGACGCTTCTGTCTCTGTAATTTTAGAAAAGGAGGTTTCCGTTCACTAACCGTGCGCACTGTTTGAGAGTATAGATCTAAACCTTATAATTTTTGCATCTCTCAAGATTTGCTCCATTCCAGTGGAATGTATAATATCATAAGCCAATGACTTTCGGCTGACGTTAATGCACCGATAAATCCTTTCATCGAAAGGGGGCCCAGCTAGTTTCTTCTATTTCTCTTTAAGAATTTTCTCCTCTGCTGTTGCATTTGTTGTCATCAAACACTGATTAACATTTGTTACTACTTTCATCCTAACGTGTGTGTGTGTGTGTGTGTGTGTGTGTGTGTGTGTGTGTGTGTGTGTGTGTTTGTGTGTTTGTGTGTGTATGTGTATGAGTGTGTGTGTGTTTGTGGGTTTTGACAGTGTCTGTGTCTGTGCGTGCTTACATAAAAGTGTGTATGTGGGTGTGTGTCTTGTGTCTGTGTCTGTGTCTATGTTTGTGTGTGCTTACATAAGTGTAGTGTATGTGTGTTTACATGTGTGTGTGTGTACGTCTGTGTCTGTGTCTATGTCTGTGCGTGCTTACATAAATGTGTATGTGTGTGTGTACATGTGTATGTGTGTGTGTGTATGTATGTACGTCTGTGTGTGTGTGAATGTATGCACGTCTGTGTCTGTGTCTATGTCTGTGCGTGCTTACATAAGTGTGAATGTGTGTGTGTGTATTGTGTGTGTGTACGTCTGTGTCTGTGTCTATGTCTGTGCTTGCTTACATAAGTGTGTAAATGTGTGTTGTGTTTTGTGTGTGTGTGTACGCCTGTGTCTTTGTCTGTGTGTGCTTAAATAAGTGTGTAAATGTGTGTGTACATGTGTGTGTGTGTACGTCTGTTTCTATGTCTGTGCGTGCTTACATAAGTATGTAAATGTGTGTGCACATGTGTGTGTGTGTATGTGTGTGTGTAATCTTGACTATTCTCGTGGCTTTCTGCAGGCATGGTGGTTCTGGAGGAGCAGCTGATCCAGGCCAGCAGCGCACAGGCGGGGACCACCAGCAAGCGAGCCAGGAGAGAGGCAGAGACCCTGGATGCTGATACTGTCTTGTGGATCGAACTCTCGCGGTATGTGGGTGGTCGGCGGGTGGTCTGGTGTGTTGTCACAGGGCCATTGTATGGAGTGGTTGGTTGGTGGGTGGTTTTGTGTGTTGTCACGTGGCCATTGTGTGGAGTGGGTGGTTCGTGGGTGGTCTGGTGTGTTGTCACAGGGCCATTGTGTGTAGTGGGTGGTTGGTGGGCGCTTTGGTATGATGTGCTCCTTCTCTCATGTCAAACATCTATTGCCTTTACCTCTCCTCCTTATTAACTTTGTTTGTTACTCTCTTGTAAGTGAATTGTTGGCACTCTGAGGGAGACGAGAAGGAGTTCACAGAGGAAATTTTATAACTTCTATTACTTTTCTGTCCTGGCCTCACTTCTATTGACACACTTGAGCGGAACTTTATTCCTTAGTTTACCTTTTAAGACCCAATCAATTTTTATTACTTATGTGTCTGCAGATTTTACAAGTGCATCGAACACTTTGGTATCTACATTCTATATCTGATTTTTTTGGGCTTATTTTTGACTGTCTATTTTTGCTTTTATGTCGACATAGTTTACGAGCATTTTTGTTTTTCTATGTCTGCAGACTTTACAAGTCCACCGGAGATTTTGATGTCCTACAAGGTATTTTCAGCGACAAATTGGGCACGAAGGATGTCACCCGCACTGCCATTGAGGCAGAGTCCAGGGGAGATTACAAAGCTGCTCTCAGAGCTTACAGAGAGGTACGTACACGTGTCTGTGTCTGTCTTAGGTGGTGGGTTCTCCCACCCCTCTCCCACCCCTCTCCCACCCCTCTCCCACCCCTCTCCCCCCCCTCCCCCACCCCTCTCCCCCCCTATTGTTTCTATCTGTTTGTCAGTCTTTTTTCTCCCTTGCTCACTCTAAATGACTTTTGGCGTTGCTGTGCTTCTGTTACTCCGAGAAGATGTTGGTAAGAAAAAAATATGTGAGGCATCGTGGTGAAATCAGGCGCTTTTTCCCTCTAGGTTGACAGTTTTTATAGAATTATTGTTTTTTGCTTAGTGCCAGTGCTCTTATGTCCATATGAAAACACATTCCCATATGTGAGGCAGCGTGGTGGAATCAGGCTCTCGTCAAAATAATCAAAGTGAAGAAACTTGCATTTTTCCGCAGGTTTGTGAATTTTTATCAAATTTTTGTTTTTTGCCTCAACAGCTTTCATGCCCATTAAAGAACTCATTTCTGTGTGAATTTTCTGAAAACCGTTGATTAGAGGAACACAAAATGTACATTTTCAGTTACCACGGACTCTAAAGCTATGGAAATAACTAATCTTTGGCGGCCATTTTCTCACTAATTTTAGCACTGAAAACAGGTGACCCCCACCTCCTTCATTCGCAAATATCTCCACTTGTATTCAAGATAAATGGATATTTTTTTTCATTCAAATAAAGACAAGGGAACAAGCTTTAAGGTGACACCAATAACTCTACATGCCCAAAAATTGACGAGAGCCTGATTCCACCACGCTGCCTCACATATGTCCAAATGAAAACACATTTCCATGTGAATTTTACTGAAAAACATTGATTTAAGACCCAAAATAAGTATAGTTTCAGATTTCTAGGACTCTCAATCTATTGAAGTTACTGAAAATTTGGTGGCCATTCCCTCGCTTATTTCACTTTGAAACTGTGGGTGGTTGGCGGGTGCTCTGGTGTGGTTTGCTTCTTCTTTCCTTTCATACGTAGATCTATCATCCTTATCTCCCCTCCTTCTTTTTTATGTTTGTTACTCTTGTAACACATCTGATCTTCTGGCGCTCATATGACCTTATGCAGTTGCGAGCGCCGTAAAACCTCTATTAAAACAAAAAAACAACTCTGAAACCAGGACACCCCCACCTCCTTCAATTGCAAATATCACGACTTGTATTCAAGATATATGAGTATTTTTTTTCACTTTGAGCGAGGCAAATGAAGAAGCTCTAGGTTAGTACCAATAGCTCAACATGCCCAAAAATTGACGAGCGCCTGATTCCACTGCGTTGTGACACATCTGTCCCTGTCTTTTTATGCAAGAAAAATTCTGAAATTATGCAAACTGAGCCCAAAAATGTGAAATTATGCGATTCTGTTAATTTTAACAAAGAATGATAAAGGAAAATAATCGGAAATTATGCAAAAAAAGATCAAATTTTGCTAAATTATGCGGGGTGCATTAAACCACGGGGACAGACAGACATATACAGTAAATGTAGACTAGCTATAAAACATTTTAAAAACAAAAGAAGACAGGGTACAGCGCAGCGGTGACCAGAAATGGTATGTTTGTAAAATTGTGCTGCCACAGTTGTAATATTGTGTGTTTGGTATTCTTTGTATATGTATTTTTGTATGGTTAATCTATTATCTATTTGTGGTGGCCGAATCTTGCTATTCAAAAGGCTTTTTAATGGCTGCATCGATCGACATGCGGTTTTCGCCAAAAGATTCTTTAAAATATTCTCCAGATCGTGACGCTCTTCGTTTTTTCAGTTTTGAGACAGTTTTGCTGCAAAAAGCTACATTTCTTTATTTCGCTGATCGCTTTTGTTGGCCAACGCTTCTGTCTCTGTAGTTTTAGAAAATCCGCCAGGTTTGTATATTTCAAGTCGTACTTCCGTTCGATACTATCTCACATTGTCGCGCAATACTGAGCACTTAATGTGTGACCCATATAGATCTAGCCTCATGTTTTCTTTTTTTACTTGGTGCTAAATTCGACTGGGATCCTTTCGTTTGATGCCCATCATCGCTTTTTCTGGACTCCTTTATCAAATTCTTTTTCTTGCTACTGGGAACAATCAACATGCTTCTGTCTCTGTAATTTTTGAAAATCCGCCAGGTTTGATAATTGTCAACTTGGAAACACATGACATGTGTCACTTTTCTATCTAGATTTATTGCTAATTTCCTGTGGATGGTAAATATAGTAGGCCAATGACTTTCAGATGATGTTAATGCAGCGACCATTCCTTTCATCGAAAGGGGGTCCAGCTAGTTACATATATACGCATATATGTTTGCCATTGTCAACCACATTTCTCCCTTGGGGATAATAAAATGTAATAAACAGTATAACACGCATAGCTTGAATCCTTCTGGACCGGTCTCGGTAGTTCGAGGGATCCGTAGTTGGAGGGATATCTTGCAAAGATAAAGAAGAAAAAAAACCCCCTGGAACCGCAGGCAAAGTTTGATGGATGCGAGATTTCGAGTCTTCTGTGTTCGACTCATCCCTTTTATTCTGTATTTATGTATTATTACTGATTTTTTTTTTGGTCTGTTCTTACGCAGGCAATGACGTGTGAGTCATGGGAGGATGGGGACCCGCTAGAAGCGGAGGTCGATTTCTGGGACGACAACCGCATGGAGGTAAGAGAATTTGACCGGAGCTGGTTATTTGCAGTTTGGTTTTGGTAACCCACCTTTCAGATAATGATAGTGAAAAGCTCGTAGACTTCTGAGGGTGAGGTTGACTTAAGTATACCATTTAATTACAGAGGCGATAAATTGTTGTTCTTGTAGGACTGGTTTCTGTGGTGTAGCAGTTAAGTGCTTCACTGTGGCATGCAGGAGGCACGAATTTGATTTTTAAGTGAAGAAATTTTTTTTTAAAATTGAGTATTTCTACCTTTCTGCTGGGATGTTTTATTCCTCTCTTCCTTTCCTCTGGGATGTCATTTCCCTCTCTGCCTTTCTGTCGGGATGTCATTTCCCTCTCTGCCTTTCTGTCGGGATGTCATATCCCTCTCTACCTTTCTGCTGGGATGTTTTATT